AACTAGGTCATATATATATATATATATATATATATATCACAATGTAGATGTGGCCTCATATATCCCACTTGTTAATTTTTCAAAATATAGTCCCCAAAGAATGTGTCAAAAGAGAGAAATAATATTAACATATCTGTAATCCTAATGATGAATAGCAAACTCAAGTTTCAATCCTAGCATTCTCTGCTACTTTCTGCATTTATTGTTTTATTACTTTGTAATATTGTTTACTAGTGTTGTAGCATTCTAAAGCAAACAGAGATAAGAGTAGCAACTGCAGTAGATGGATCTACCAAAAAAACTTAGGTATTGTTCAAATTATAGCTTTATCACAAACTTTTCATCTCCTGATGAAGAGAAGCATGGGTACTTGCAGGAAGGGGCATTTGCCACCCTTTACATTCACAAAACTGTAAATTTGTGTTTGCATTTAAGCACACACAACAATTTACAGGTCATATATTACTTAATGTTATATATGACTACTGAACTACCTTCCTATTGTTCTAATTACTTACTGTGTGAGGTCATTTCCAACTGGTGTCACAACTTTTTCACAAAAGAGACATCATGGACAGCTTAACATACTATGTAGTTTCTACAAGTATTTCAGGCTTTTGTAACACATGAAGGTTATGGCTGTTATTTTTTGTTTAGGAAATTCTCAGATCTGATATATTTAGAGAAAGGTAACTATTGCTTTCCATACATAATATTTAACTCTCTTAGTCTTAAACAGATTTTCTTACAAACCTGAATAAATAATAAGCTTTCTTTAGATAACACAGAATAAAGCTGTCTGTTGTCTTTGAGTAGTAATCCTTGACTTGTCTTATAAGTAGTACGTTAAGAATACTTTTCACTTTGTTTTAACAAGAATTTTGTCAGAAATTCTGCTTGAATGTGATGCAAGTTCTTCTGTGATTACTCCTGTTATCTACAGTTACTATTCTTACCTATAATGGAAGTAAGCACATATGAAAAGACTACATAGTAAGATAATAGTTTTGTTTTGAGTTTACTTACTGATTAAGTATATTTTTATTACAAGTTACAGCTTTTACAGTAAGTAAGATTTGTGTTTTGAACAGGTATAACATTTTGATCACTGATGTGATCATTCTCAAGTACACAACTTGTATTACAATGACATTACAACATACTCTGCACTGCTACTAGCAACAGCCTTAAGAGATTGATCAACCAAGACACCAAGATCTTTTTCTTCCATAACTTAAGGTTATTCTCATTGTCAGAATTTAAAAAAATCTATAATTCTTTCTTTTTGCCAATTGTCAGAATAAAAAGGCTTTTACTTATACTTCTTAATGGTATGAGTATATACTGTGTTGTTTTGGAGCTTAGGATTCTCCTACAGTAGGTGTCTGCGACTTGTTAGTGATAAATTCAATGAAAAGTAAACAGCATACACTTCACTTGTTTTCAAAATAATATATATATTCTGAACAAGTTAATGTATGTACAATACATTCTTCAACACTATGGATATTATGGACATATCACAAATATTATATATATGTAGTTCTCTCCTTCTTGTCAAATATCCACTTAGGCCTATTCAATTACTTTAGAATTTCAGTTCACAAGCTGAACTACCTTCTCTATTTCTATCGCACTAGTATTCTCTGTAATTCACTTACAATTGAGGCACAAGTTAACATAATCGCTTGGTTGTCTTTCTTTTGAAGATCCTCTGTTCCTTTTGTCAAAGTGCACTCAAAATGATTCAATTACTTTATAACCATGCTTTGACAGCTATCTTCTTTTCTATTGTTAGTTTCACTCTAATATATTAAATGTTAGGCCTATGTCAATCGTTAGGCCTATCATTTCTACGGTAGTTAACTTCACACCAACTTTATTCTCTTTTGCTATTATCTGTCTGCTGTTGTCTGTTTGTCTGCTTCCTGCTCATCTCATGCTATTTATATCTTTATTACCTAATTGTCTGTCTGCTTTCTATATTCTCAATGTCAATATATTGCACACGACATTTGATATTCTCAACATCAAAGAATTATTAACAAAAGCTTCTACAATCATCTGCTTTTAACTCTTATTATAATATAAACTAAACAATAGTAAAATATTCACTCACAAAAACAAATCAATAAATAACATCTAATCTAAACAGTCTTTTATATTATGACACTCAAAATTATACCCATAATTCAAATTGTGATATCTCAGATGCACCATCTTGCATTTATTATAATCAAAAGCCATCTGCCATTTATTAGCTCAACTCAACAAACAATCCAAATCCTTTTCTAAGGCAGTAGCATCCTCCTCACAGCCAGCAACACCCAAAACATTAACATAATCAGCAAATTTAAATAGTCTACTGACCATTTCTTTATCTATGTCACTGATGTAAATCAGAAAGAGCAAATGTCCTAACACTGAGCACTAAGGTAACCCACTCATGACATTTATTTCGCTTGACTGAAATCCATTTAAAATAACCCTCTGTTTTCTTGGATCTAGCCAGTTGTCTATTCCACACTTAGAGAAATAACTTTCAACAAGCCTTTTATGTGGTAACTTGTTAAATGCTTTCTGAAAAGCCAGATACCCCATATCCATGCCTGTTTTATCATCTACATAAGCAGTAACCTTTGTCAAAAGATTAGTAACGCAAGATTTTCCCCTAGTGAAACCATGCTGACAATCCAACAAAATTTTAAACTTTGTTAAATGACTTTTCAAAGCATCTTTTATAAGACTTTTTTAAAAGACTTTTCCACCACTAATATAAGACTAATAGGCCTAATATTACTGGGACAATTTTTATCACCTCCTTTTACAAAGAGTAACATCAGCCAAATTCCAGTCTTTTGGCATCTGCCCACAAATCATTGACTTGAAAAAAATAATAGCAAGTGGCTCACATATCTAATCATTAACCTCTTTCAGAACCCTTGGGTAAATATTATTTAACCTATGTGCTATATTATTCTTTATACTTTCCCATTGTTTCCCAGCAAGCTCAGAGTTAATGTGATCATCTTGATCAACCTTGCCTCCATCTAGCAACTATTCAGGTTGAGGAAAAAACCTGTTTCCTGCATTGTAAGTCTGCAGAAATACTGCTGTGCCACTGGGGGGCATATTGCTTAAATCATCATTGGTAAAAACTGAAGAAAAAGTAGAATTTAATAACACAATCACCTTATAATCATTAGATATTAGCCTTCTGGTGTCATCCTTCAAAGGCCTTACTCCCATCTTAACATTTTTCTTACCCTTAATGTACTTGAAGAAATCATTGCTATTTATTTTTACATTTTTATGTAAACCTTTCTACATACATTACATATTATTTATTTTAGTGTTGTACTCCTTTTAATTATATATATATATATATTGCACAAGTGCCATTTTAAGTTATTTAAGTTAACAATAAATCTAAAATAGCATTGTACCTAGTAGATTCTCTAACCAATTGTTAAAGAAAACCATCCTATACAGTATCTAAAAACCTGTCTCACTCATGATTTGATTCTGCAATTTCCCAATCTATATGCCTGAATTTAAAATCTCCCATAACTATAATTTTAATAAAAGTTGAATTATTTATATATTTGTTGAGTTTTTCATTAATTTCATCATTTTCATCTGGTGGTCTTTATCAACTTCCAGCTAAAAGCCTTCTCTCCTTATTACCACCAACAGATACTCATATAGATTCAACCTTGTTGCTAACAGTATTGATATCCTTAACTTGAACAGGCTGTAACTCACATTTTACATAC